CTCTCTCTCTCTCTCTCTCTCGGAACTATGGTGGTGTAATGGTTAGAACGTTCGCTTGGTAAGTCAGAAGTCACTGGTCAGTTCCTCTTAACATCCCATTTGGGTATAATTAATTACTACATGTACTTAAAATAAGTACCCCATCCCACACCCTCACTGACACAGTTTAAAACACAGGCGTCTGAGGTGTGGCGGTTATAAGCGCTTTGCTATCTCACGCAGATGTCCCAAGTTCGATTCCCGGGTACGGTGACATTTTTATCAAGTATTTCGATCTTTCTGTTGGGATGTTTTGTCCTTTTCAATCCAGATTTGCCCTGACAGCTGGGTCGGATGCCTACCTCCTATATATGATCTAATTTGAGTCGATGGACACGTTTAAAAAAACACCCAAATTAAGACACTTGAGAGGCAAGTTGCTTCGATCCTGCCTGCCAGAGCCAACTCTGCCTGCAGAAATTATACCGAGATACGAAAAGAAGTAAACTCCCCTTCCCGAGAATCGGACTCGCATCTTTTGGGTGCAACTTTGTAAAGGGTTGGATTTTTTTTTTTTGGGGGGGGTTGTTTTTTGTTTGTTTTTTTTTTGGGGGGGGGTTGAGGAAGGGAGATGTTTTTGCCCTGTGCCCCATGTTAGTGTTCTTGCAAAAGAGTAGCTATAACTGTCCCTCTACTTCGTTCAATATGAGTCTCCAACATGTTAGTTAATGCAGTTTTCATGACCTGCCTCTGCCACTTTCTTATCTGTAATTAAACGGTTTCAATGCCACTTTCTAACACTTTCTTATCGCATAATGATAATAAAAAGCTATTTAAACAGCCAACTATTTTTTTAAGGTGTGCTTAGCTCCTTGTGTTTGCTAAAGAAATCCAATTTTGAAAATCTGTCAAGTATCAGTACTCAATAGCAGCAAATATGAGATAAGGAAATTGTTTGGAGTTACAATAGTTACCCACAAAAAAATTTGGTTCATCGAAATTTAATAGTAATGATAATTATTTATTTTTTTAATTTAAATTTATTATTT